TGTCAGAACTCTTTGGTTTGTATGTCCCTGGTATCTGAACTTGGAGTGGACTGTCATACCACCTGTGTCTCTGGTATGACAGTCCTGCATAAATCAGATGGTATAGACATGTGTGTCAGTCAGGTGCCAAGTGTTAGTGATGTGTTGGTATGTCATTGCAGATATGCTGATCATTGCAAATGCAGGTTAGACTGAAGGACAGATAGTCTGTTTCCCTGCAGCCCCCATATAGTATCAAGATTCGCTGACCTAGAGGATCTTGGATACATCAAGCAATCTAGAAATCCAACCCCTTTGCAGTAATAAACCCACATACCACAAAAAGTTACAAGATGAGCCCAAGTGTACTGCCAAACTGCGGCTGCAGCAGGATACTAAGTATTCTCCAATGAGAACAAAGCCATTAGGACATTGAATCATACAATAAATATATAGTTACTGTTACGGAACAACTACAGACAGGAAATAACAAACAATGCCCTGTATGAGTTTGTGGAGAAACACAATAAAAGCAGATGCATATATACACAATGGGTCACTGAATGGTTTGACAAGATGTAAACAATGAGAAAATGTGATGATATTGTGAAGGTGTGTCACATGGAGGATAATACAGGATTATGCAGAAATGTGATGACTAGGCAACAAACAGCACCCTGTGGTTGAAAAAGGGCAGGCGTGACTTTCATCTGTTCTCCTCATCCCACAATCTTTTGCAAGCATCTGCCTTTCTCAGTCATTTTCACATGGCCTCACCCAATTGCATAACCAGCAACAACACCACTCACAGCACGTCATTTATGGGAAATGAGTGAGAGGGTGAATCACACTTCACTGTGCACTGTAAAATTTAAAAAAGGCAGGGAAAAGAAGGGGCATTTAAACAAGCCATTTAAACGTGCCACTAATAAGAACTACGAGCCCAACAGTGGGACATAGAAAATTATTAGGTCACCAAAATTAAAGGTCCTAGTAAATCAAAACACACTGTGAAACTCCAAAATGGAATAACACATTATAGTAATTTTGTACCCAAAAAAATGAAAAGTGGTGTTTTGGTGAACAAGTCTTATTATTTTTAAGTATAAACACTGTTAACACACTTGATGTCAGTTTTCATGACCTCTTAATTAGCCATGTGGATTTTATTTTTATTTTGGGGAAGTACCTTGTGACATATTTGATGGTAGACCTTGTACTAACACAGAAAACATATGCCTCCAGGGAAAGATGCAGAAAGTGAATGACTTCTAGTGTTCATCATGCTATTGAATATCAAGGGTATGCTAGTTTTTCGTATATCTGGACATGAAAAATAATCACAATATACACAAATGCATGTAAAAGCAGCTTACGAGTAAATATCTAGAAACATATTCTGTCAGAAAAAAACGATTGAGTCAGTGCTGCAGGATAAACACAACGTCCCTCATATTTTACCACTTTCTATTTAGGTCACTGAACTTAATACACACCACTCTTCTACCTGAGGCTGAGAAACAGGCTTGCATACAAATTACATAGAGACATTTCAGGTGAGAGTATATGCTTTTCATTTCTAATGAAACCTTCACAGAAGAAATCCCCTTCATGTGCTGCAGGCTTCCATGTGAACTTTAAGCTGGTAAACCAAAGACCATTGCAGTGCTACACTTTTCCATCTGTTTGCTGGTAGTAGTTTCACTTTTCATGTTTGATTATCTCTGACCGCAGCCATAAACACTTTCTGACCTTTCCCAGTGAGTCATCACTTAAATATGTAACAGACTGGTTTCAATTTGACAGGGGCTTTCATTTTTAAAGATAAATTCACATCTCATTTCAGTTTGATATGGTATCAGCCTCACATCAAACTATGTAGATAAATATAGAGAATATAAAACCCCACTTTTGTAAGACCTGTTATTTTTTAAAAATGGGACTAAACTTTAACCAAGCATACTTTGGTGGATGTAGAGTTGCAACAATGTGGTTATACATCTATGAAAATAAAGTTATTTGGCAAATCAATTAATTGTTCAATTTCCAAAAAAATCTGAAAATCTGAAAAATATTGACGTTATCATACCTTACCATATCAATATTTTGGGTTCTTAAGTGCTTGTCAACCATTTCTTTGGGAAATAGTGAAGAGCACTTCATGTTTTCATAATTAATATTCAATGTAATTGATTAAGAAACCAAACTGCAGATTATTTAAAAATAATCATTGGTTGCCCACAAAAATGTTGATGATAAGGTTAATATATGACCGTCCTTTAAAGACCAATTATCTGACCTTTCATCTCAGATTGATCATGGGTTCTGTGAGTCATTTCCCCACTACACATTAGCCAGTAACAATGTAGCCAGGTTAGAAAAAAACTGATACAAATCATATAACAGCCATTCAATCACTGAGTCCATACATGATGGCTAGACACAGTTGTAGAACGCTTGATTCTTTCAACAGACTACTCAACAATAATTCTTTAACATCCAATCAAAGGACGCTCCTTTTCTCCTTGCTCAGCCATTACAAAACACATACATCATACAGGGTGAGGACTGTGGAGCTTAATC